ACTATCCGTACAAAAGGGGCATTTCCAAAGATGCTGTAGAGCGGGCGTCCGGCTGACAGCAGCCCCTGCCTCTAACTGCTCCGAGTGTAATGGGAGGCTCCTTCAACACCTGAGACCATCGCACATTTTCAAGGCCTCCATTCCTGCCACCAAACCTCTTGCCACACTCGCTTTTATTTCATCTTTGACAAAGCCCTCCCTTTGCGTCCTTTTCGCTATTTGGTGAGGAGACATCTCCTCCGCAAACCGACAGAGAGAGGAGCACACAGAATTAAACAAACAAACACAAAGCTCCATGAAGCAATGCTTAATAGAGTCACACATGGCTCCCTTTTCATCTTCTCAATAGCTGTTCAGGAAGGATGAACACTCGAGAGCAAGTCCTCTCCCGCTTCCTCTCTCAGGGGCCTTGTATCAGTCGCCACTTCACAAGGGAACTTTCTTTCTTGTTCTGACACACTTTTTAATTAGACTGTCCACTGCACGATCATTTCCACCAGCCCTAGCGAGGTTAGGTGCCTGAGCTCCGCTCTATATGAAGGTTCTACATAAAAATGCATGCTATAAATATGACTATTAAACAACTTGCAATTCGAAGGAGCAGCCAGTAATGAAAAGTCTGTTGTCATTTACTCTCCCTTGTGTTGATCCAAACCTTAGACTTACTTTCCATATTGTGTCTAGAACACAAGTTCTTAGAAATATTGATGTTGATTTTTTGGGGGGGTTTTGTAGGTTTTTTTTTTTATATATATATATATAAATACTTAATGCATTAATGTTTTTTGGAGAATTGCACCAAAAGACATACTACAACCTGAACTAGGCTTGTCATAACAAGGTCAAATAATTTGATATATTAAAATATGTCCAGACCTTGTTGACACTTTAATGAGGGTCTGCAAGGGTTCGCTCCATGCTTATGTATCCATGCTCCATTATAATTTTTCACAGAAGTGGGCATTAAAGTCATATGAATTGCATATTTGATGCAATTGATGTTTTGTATAAATAAAAAGGACAAAAAAATGAGACATCATTGACCCTTAAATTTCATTGTTCTTCATACATGTACATTTTCAGATGACTGACTGTGATTACTGCAGAAAACTTCTCAGCGTCCATGTTGCTCATTGACTAAATGGCACTTTGACAAAACTGACCTTGAAATATTCAAAGGAAATCAATTTGAAGTCAATGCCGGAGCAAAAACAAGCCTAAAGATTCAGTCAAGCTGACTTTTTGCCTGAGTCACGCATGGATTTTGGAGGGAGGAGGTGCCTCTGTATATTTAAGGATTAGCAACTCCCCCTTCCCTTAACTGAGCTCCTTAGTTATTAATTTTACTGTTAAATACCCAAAGAAAAGCACTTTTAAGCAGCTCTCATTAATACGCCTCTCTCCTCCATATAGCCCAGCTAGGTGAGAACCGTCGCTGTGGCTAATTATTACCTTCATATGCAAATGCCGTTAGTCATGCTTAAAGTGTACTTTTTCTTATTTAATTAATTAAAACAATCATCTATGAACTTTAAATTAGTCTGGTGTAAAATAATCTCTTTTTATCATTTAATAATTAGCAGGCAGTAAAGCGGCTGTATTAATTGCATTTAGGCTTCTGCCCCAGGAGACGCACGGAGAGGAATGGATCTCAGCTTCCTGAAATAGCGAATTCCCATGAACTGAGGAGCTAGGAAGGAAAAGAGAGTGAGAAAGAGGATGAGAGAGAGAAGAAAGAATGAGAATAAACTCTTTTCTGCGTTCTTTCTTTAAATTACCCCTGGGAATCAGAGACAACCCTTAATTAGCCTAGCGCCATGGTAAAATTGATTGAAATGCAGCACATCAATTATTAAGCGTAACAGTTTTTTATAACTCTCCCCTGCTTCTCTTTGGGTGGGAGTGGGGTACGGTAAATCGCTTGGGTGTTACCTCCGAAAACAGACTGCAAATGAGAGGACGTTTGTTCAGATCTTAACGACCTCTCGGTATCTCTTACATGCAGTGCCGTGCATCGAAGCGAAGTATCACTGATACTCCTCATGGCTCTTGTCTCCTTTGTTCTGCTGCGATGTTTACATAGTAGGTTAGGAAACTATGATGCATACTTATTAATGCAGCCTTTCATGCACAGAAATAACTGAGGGGTTCAGCAAGGCTATATATTAGGCCCTTTTCAAAACTACTCTATCTTCCTATTAGTGCTTGCAAAGTGAACAGAGTGTAACGGCAATCATCTATATCACCTTTGAAAAAGGTTTTCATGTCAAAATCATCCTCGTCCAAGACTCCAGTTGCTCATATGCAGCTTGACCCCTAAGGTCAAACCGTCACTGTCAGTTAAATAACCTCCCTGCTATCTGGAGTGTCACCTCATTCAGGTCAAAATAAGGTCATGTAATTTGCAATCTCTTTGTAACATTAACATGGGTTTATTTGTCTCCACTCAAAGCCACCCAAACAGCAAGTACTTGGGTAATAAACAGCTGGCACTTCAAATGACTTCTGTGATTACCAAAACAGAGCTGTTAGTTAAAGCCATCTCACTGGCAAATAAAAGTGTTCATTACTGAAACAGTATTAATCGGTTAAAACAGCAATAATCTGTATAATTGCTTTAATTACCCTGCCAATAAAGAGCAACACAAATTCACAGCTCATTTTTTGGCTGTGGCCCACCAAGTGATTTTCTTTATAACTGCTGCCAGCTGCTGGTAACAATGTGCATAACAGTGTTCAGTGCACAAGAGGTACAGGGTAGGTGATTTCCAGCAAGTTAAAATGATGCTAAAAGTATGTAGTTTTAGAAATTTTATCTCAGGACTTTCACAAGATGTTGCCATGAAATGGCACCTTATCCACTTTTAAGTAAAGTTGGTCATGACAGAATTCTAATTTCTGGGCAAACTATCCTATCAACTACTCCTGCATTCTAAGGTCTCTTGGGGGTCACGGGCTGGGAGACTACATGAGCCCTCTGATGTCCTGTATATCCTGGTCATTGTCAGTGCTTAACATGGTTGGAAAAACTCATTTGAGCCTAATTAATTCTTTGCAGGGCCCTTGTGCTCCAGTTACCGCTGCAGACCTTTGCCAAAGTACCAGGAAAAAGACTTCAGAAGACATCCAACACTTCACACTGGACAAGTCAGAGGGCAGTGCACAAAAGAATCCGTAGAGGCCATTGTAAAGGAGTCAGGGTCAAGTATAGGTTAGGATGATGTTTTAATTAGTTGGCCATAACTTATACATGATTGCTTTTTCCCTATGGCCAAAATTCAACAATGGAGCTACTCTTGAATGATCCGAGAAGAATAACACAAGACGGTGGAGGCACTGTGAAGGTCAGTAAGGTATTATATGTAAAAAAATCTCACAGTTAACCAATCATGTGAATGAAGAGACCCAAGACGGCAAGCTCAGAATGGAAAACAGTATCATACTTCCATTATGATAGTCGGACATAACAGTTTGACCCCTAATACTTACCGGGACCAACGCACCACAGTAGTATCGAGAAGAGCGTCCTCTGATTGTACGCCCATTCAAGATGCAAACCCAATAGGCCTATTTAGAATACATTTCCAGTAAGTCAGTTTGTAAGTAAATATATGTTTTTGGGAAATGTTTTCTGGCGCACATTAACGAGCCACTGGGGTTTTACACTGTGAAATGCTGCCAAACCAGATGCAACTTCGAGACTAAATGCCACATAAATTATAAACGATTACAGTGTAACTTGGAGAAACCACTTAATGCCTATCCCGACCACAGAGAGGGGTTTTAACGGGAGAGGAATGATTAACGAATGCTGCAATACATGCCTCAAAGCTTTTAGCAACCGATCGGTGTGGTCTTGCCTAACATCAGGACCCCTACGGACCTAACCAAAGGTGAGACCTTGATTCAGAGTGATGTGGCCTAAACACTTCTTCTTCTGATAATCTACTAATAAACAAACGAGTGAATGGCACATACATTCGTTTTTATAAGACGTCTCTGGTGCACAGTCACCAAATGTTAATGGACTCGAGGGCTTTGTTATAATGAAAATGAAACGGGCAAGATTTTAGCTTGACGATTATAACAATATTTACATTAATTGAGCCTCATGAAGTGACACAATTAAATCTTAAACTTAACTTTTCTTCAGACTTAAATTAACTATGCTATCAGACAGGCATTTGATGGGCAGCTGAACTGATCGTATGTTACTGAAGCTCTTGCTCCCCCTGGTGGTCAAAGAAAGGAAGCACAGCAGTATAGTGATTTCTTTTAATAAAACTGCCTCACTTGGTTTATCCACCTAGTTCTGTGATTCCGGCAAAGAGCTTGAGATAACATACAAGTGGCCACTAACAATTCTGATGGCAGTAGTGCAACAAGAATAACAAAAGAAAATACTCCAGACAGGTGTTAACATGAGAATTAAAACTTTTTATTAGTGTATTTATGAAGTCTGCATATGCAACACGCCTGAAAAGCTTATCGCCTGAAGTTCACGTCCTACCAATACATCTCTCTAATGGTAAAACAAGCTCACCAACTGTTAAATGCTTTGCAAAATAGGAGAAAAAAATAACAGAAAAAAAAAGTAAAATAAAATTATATATACACATTTATATGCATATATGTCTGGTCCACTTTCAGTTCTATTTGGTTTTCTTTCCACACCCAGTCAAAAATGGCAAACAGAATGTTCCCAGCGTCTTAATGGCCGCTCATCGGCTTTAAAAACGGGCCACAGCGTCTTCGTCAGCTTTTTACTAGATGCACTTAAAGTACAATCGCAAGAGTAGTTAAGATCAATGAAGGAAAATATGGAGACAGAGGTGGGAAGAGGGGAATGGATATTTGCAACGCCTGGTCACTGCCACAACAAGTAAAGAATAACAGACAGCTATATCACAGTCATTAGTAAAAGTTGTACAACGAGCACGCACTCTAAAGTTGCACAGTTCTCCCTGCAAAAGCAACCTGTTTAATCTTTTTTTTTTATTCCCCAATTGCAAACAAATAGAACATCGCCATGGTTTCGGGTAGCCATACTTTGAGTGGCGGTGGGTTATACAGTATCGTGTTGTGAACATGGGAGGAAAGCAACTAAAAGAAAATTAAAGTCAAATGTACTTCAGGGGGTTCGAGATCAGGGCGAAACGTGACAACAGCTTGAATTAGACAGCGGAGAAAAAAAGATATTTGCGCTTATAAAAATGTCATGCTAAATAACGTTTTCGTATGATAGGACATTTCAATATGAAGCCATGTTCCTTTAAAAAGAGGGCATGATCTAAAAAAATATTCAATTCTAATAAAAAGGAAGAGAGCTTTAAAGATCTTAAATATATTTATATATAAAAATACATGAAAATACAAAAAGTAGCTAAAAGAAAGATAAAGGGAAACAAAATCTTGTAATTGTGAAGGATAACCTAGTTTATAAACACTTAAAGCTTAAATACTTGGATTTGTTTTTTATTCTTTTGTCGTTTTTATTTTAAAGATCTGGACTGCGCGAGACGCTTTAATAACCTTCGAAAGTCCCTAAAAGAAGCCACTTTCTGAAGAAACCAGACTCCAAAACCACTCCACAGTGAATAAAAAGTTAATTCCGAGGGGCGGCGTAAAGTTCGAATTGAACGTGGGGTCCTTTTTTTTTTTTTTTCGTTAAACATTCTATAAGTTTGAAGAAAAGAAGCATGACTTACAGCAGCATACCTCAAATCAAAGGCAACATTCTTATATAGTGGTTTGGGGAAAGAAATCGTAAAAAAATAATAATAAAATAAAATAAAATAAAAGTATCTTTTGGCATTACTGAAGAAAATCAAAAACCATGATTAAGCCTTAACGTGTCAATCTACACAATAATAACGTTTATAAAAACAAAGAACGTGACTTTTTGCCAGAAAAAGTAACCTCCTTGAACGACCGGATTGGGACCGGCATCCAGGAAAATTAATCGTTAAAAGAGTATCAGAGTATGTACTTCATCAGGGGGGGAAAAGCCTTGCTGCTACAAGTGTGTGAAGTTATTTACTGCCTTCTTGAACTTCCACACAACATACGCACCTTCCCTCCTTCTCGAAAACCATACAAATAAAATAAAAAAACAATATACATTTCAAATTCTACTACTAATACATGTAATATTGAGGATTTATGAAAGAAAACAAGAGAGAATTAAAGGTGCATGAAGCTGATGAGACAGCAAGTGCTGCGTTCAGGTCCGAACGGAGAGAACATCAGTGTCGGGAGGACAAAGATAGAGAAAGGCTCACGATTACTATGAAAGAGAAAGAGGGGGCGGGGCTCGAGTAAGTCTGTTGTTCTTCGAGTTGTCGGTTGATGTGATTGTAGAATCAGTCGTTTTGGAGGCAGAGGACAGAGAGCTTGGTCACAGCGATTAGGACATACTGGAACAGCGTACGGAGGGCGAGCCCATCTGGGTCAGGACCTTGTCCAGCCACTGCAGGGGGCCGTTCAGGTGAAGCTCGATCCAGCAGGGGGTGCTTGTCACCGTCTGCCGTCTACACAACAATCAACGGTCACAGGATGTATCGTATATCAACTACATTTGAATTAAATATAAAATATTTGGAAGTAATTCATTTAATGAATTGATTGAGAAATAATGAATCACACATTTCACTACCAGTGTAATTTAAATCACGCTTTTTACACATTTTTACTATTATGTAAAAAGGAACCGTATGCATTAAAAATGTATAGCTAAATTATATCAGGTTTTTACAATTTATTTTTACTCAAAACTCTCCTGAAAACCTGTCCATACCTGTACTCGGCTCCCCAGCCTTTAACGAAACTCATGCGAATGGTGCACATCCTGGTCAGCTGATATACAGCCTCAAAGCCCTGGTTCACCGACTGAGCCAGCAGTGCCGCAAACTCCTGGTTATTGAAGATCTTCAGGTTACAGCCTAAGAAAGAGAGTATCGTTACGTCATAACGGTTGACGTAAAAAACTGGATGGTGCAGAGGACAATAAAAAGTGAGTGGATCTCTTACCTGGAGGGATTTTACAGACTGTCGCAGGGTGCCAGCCATACCTCTGATTACAGTTAGGGCTTTGAACAAAGATGGCGCTATCGCTAAGACATTCGGCAAACACTTCCCCACCAATATAATACAGCCTGACCCCTCGTCCTAATCAAAAAACATCAACACAAAAATTTTGTTTTGGACCCCATTGACTTTCATTGTACAGACAAAGACATTCTTCCAAGAATCTTCTGTTGAAGAAAGCAAGTCATACACAGGTTTGGAATGACATGATCAAATAAAATATGCCAATTGTAATTTTTGGGTCAACTGTTCCCTGAAATTCCACTTTAACACTTGATGGTAGCGCAGCTGAAGATGTCTTGGTACCTATGTGTCTTCGGGTCATCTCCACGGTGGCGTTGCGGTTGACGTTGGACAGCAGGCCCAGGCAGAAGCGTTCTGAGTTGGAGGGGTCTGTGAAGCCGTCCACGGTGAGGGAAGGCTGAGAGGCGTGGAATGTTTCTCCGACCCGCTGGTTTAGTTCATAGTAAGCTATGGAGCACCAAAACGCGGGCTCTGAGTAAGTCACTGGCTGAAGGTCTGAAAGAAAGATGAAAAAGACCAAATGTAAGAACAACTTGACAAGCTCAAATGTACTGTGCATAGCCAATGTATGACTATGATAGTAAACCTCCTCATTTCTTAAGATTGTAAGGACTTTGAAGATGTATTAAGAATGAGTTGAAGCAGTTAGCGAGGTCTTACCCATGCCATGATTGACAGGCGAGTGTATGCTTGGTGACAGTTCCGCAGGAGAACCTGACGAAGAAAAAAAAAAAAAAGATGATTTCTTACACAAGAACACAACACACAAGAAGAAATAACTTGATTTTTTTTGGTGCTTGCCCATGTAAAACTTTACATTCTATGACATGGATCAGTTCCATCCTTCAATGGTATTTTTTTTTTTTGCCTGTTTTATCCTCCTTCAGTCAAAATCGGCATGTGATTTGAGAAATTATTCCTGTCCATAGCATAAGCGATGGTAAAGGTTCCGGACAGAATCCTAAATTCTAAGTAAGAATGACAGCAAAAAGCAGTAAAATGGAAATTCTTGGTTGAAACGAAATTCTGGACACAACAGGCTGAAAAACAAAAAGTCCAATGTAATAAGTAGCGACCGATCTTCTCTTGTGTAATGAGACATACATTTAAAAACAACCAAAAAAAAACTAAAAAACGCAGGGCATGGACTTGGTTTTATCCATCAGTTTTTGATTGGACAAGGCAGATCTGAATGCAAAC